GGAGACTCCAATAGAGTTAATAAGGTCATAGAAATTTTTTTGCGTCAGATAAAAAACCAAGTGTCATAGAGGAAGTTCCAGGACATTGAGCTGGAGATTTGAAATCGTAAAGTTAATAGATATTAGATGATAGTGTAATGAAGTAAGTGAAAGCGGATTAATGGTAGTAAAGAGAGGAGATGAAATCAGTCAGTTATGAATTAAAGAAATCTCACTGCAAGACTGACAAAACCTAATCTGTAGACACAATTTTGTACAGAAGAAAGCTGAATCTTATCTTTTGTTCTAACTAAAGCATTTTTGTAGTGTTGATTGTCTCTTACAAGACTTTAAGTTTGTAAGTTTACAAGATCCGGTGTAATTCTTCTGTCGTACCTTGGTGGTAATGTAAAACCTCAGTACCGATCCAAGATCTTTCATTAGGATTGTTATTTACAGAAGGATAGTTTTTTTAATATGTTTTTAAATCATATTCTTAGGAAAATTGTTAAGTCGTAGTATGTCAATTATATTCTTTTTCTTTTTGCTTGTCTTCGTCTGAAGAAACGGCCGCACTAAATGGGTGTCCAGAGTTAAAAATTAATATGCCGATTTAAATGTGTCGTGTTTATTTGTTTGAAGAAATTTCCGAGCAGAGTGTCTTTAACTGTGAAAAATATATCATCTGCATACCTGAGTCAGATGCGTGGCCAGATGGTACTGGCAAAAATAAGCCACCAAATATGGGACATAAATAAATAAGTCGGAGATACTGGCGATCCCATAGCTACGTTATTCGTTTGTTTATATGAAGTCCCTCTGAAAGTGAAAAGTTTTGAATTCAAGCATAGTTTGAGGGATTTCATGATTCAAATAATGCCTAATGGACATCTGTTAGACGTAGTATTATCGTTCTGTAGTAAACAGTTGACGAAGTCTAGATATCAGTCAACTGGAATGCTAGTGTATAGAGGTACAATATCATGGCATATCATTGCTTTGTTCTTGTTGATGAATATTTCCGAAATCTTTGATTTCGTATAAATAATCTACGACATTAATTTGGTTATATTGAAGTGGCTTCAGTATGTCGCTTGAATACTCCTACCGCTTGTTCTGGAGTACATGTCTAGACTCTGATCATGCTCTAATACGAACACGAATTTGCTTGCGACTCACTGGACGTAGAAAAACCACATTAAGAAGACCCATTAAAGTTGAACTCAATGACAAGGAAGCCAAATGTAGATTCCAGGAACAATTGAGGTCACACTTAAATAGCTGTGAAAGCGAGGCTGACCCAGATGTTGCTTGGAAAGATATACGAACAGCTGTGGAAGCAGCAGCAATATCTGTTTTTGATTTGGACCAAAAGGTCGCGAAAAACCAATGGATTTCTACTAAGCCTATTGCCATTAATAATAGTAATAATGATAGATCCCCGTAAACTTATCTCATCTGGCTCTGAACAGATAGGTTGACTACAGAGGTCTTTAAGGAAGGTTGTTCAGTTTTAGCGATTAAGTTAACTAACATTTTAGCTAAAATCTGAGAGTTCGACGTAATCTCATCTGACTGGTCGCAATCACTGATTGTCTCAATATATAAGAAGGGGTCAGAATTATCTTGTGATAACCATAGAGGGATTAGTTTGACTAACACAACATCTAAAATATTAGCCTTAATAATTATTTTATTTTTTCTTCGAATTTTTGAATTTCTTAATTTTTCTTAATTTTGATACATTCAGATAATAAGTATCTCTTTCGTTGAAAATGGAAGTATATTATTCGGTGAGGATTGAAACTCCTATGAGCTCATCCAAATTTTTAATACCTTCACAGTATTTTTCTACAATGAAAGTATATTTGTGAATACGTTCTCTTTAAATGATTCGTGATACATGTTGAGCAATACGAATTAATCATCACGAACGTTCTAGTGACTTAACAATCCAAGACTTGAGAACAATTTTATTGTTTAAACAATGTTTATTAAATATTCGGTGATTGCACCAGTTATATTCGATTAATGAGATTATAGGTATCAGTGACATGGTTGGACTTGATAGTTTCACATAAACTGAGCATCGGGTAAAACGTTGTTGTTGTTATGTCCCGATGAGTAGAAAATATTATTTGAATATTGAGTTTTCAATATCATCAAATTTAAAATGCTACTACTAAAAAAGAAGACCATTTAAAGTCATGAACACATGTAAACTACATGAATAGTTTAACCAGGATTAACTGTTAAAAAGTATAGAATGCACTTTAAAATCAAATATGAAGCTAAAGAATAACAGACTGGTAAAAATGAAAGTTTAAATCAAGCACGCAAAGACAGGATAATAAATATTGTTCAGAACAATATAAAGTTTCATCATTAAAATATAAGATGGTAAAAGTGTTAGGTCATGTTTATTATGATTATGAATGAATAGTTAATAGGAAGTGAAGGTTTTGATGGTATCTATCCGAATTTATTATTAGTAATAAGAATTAGACGACTGATTTGGTAAACAAACAGACCTAACACTTATGATTTAACAGTTTATAATTCGGATTTATTCCAGTTAACTTTGCTTGCGATGCTCATCACTTACAAAAAATAAAGTTTGCATCAAACTACATTTAACTGTTTCTTCAACAGAATGTAAGAATAAAAACCGAGGTGAAATCTTTGACAAGAAAGTTACTTTACGTATATGTATTGAAGAAAATGAGTTGCTCAGTAGGATAGCTTAAGTGGGACTGTGTTCTATATGCTTGATAGACTAATTGTGAAATGTTCATTGTTCTTTGCAGTGTCATCATTGGGACAAAATTTGGGATGAATTATTTGATAATAAAAAAGACGAGATTTTACTCAAGTAATCTAAGTGAATATAACTTTTTTGAAAAAAGGTATGTGGAAAATTTCTTCATGATTCATATTTCTTTTATTTCCTGATAAACCTAATGAACTGTGGTAAAACTATATTATATCGAAAACTTTCATGAGGCCAATCAGATATAAGATAGGACCTACTGGATTTTGAGTTGTATTCAAAGCACAACGGATGAATGATTACGTCCTATTTAGGGCTATATGAAAAAATGCTTATACCTACATATTAAGGTTCTGAGAACATGATGAATCTCCTTGATATGATTATAGGTATAGTCAGGGATGTTAGCGGGACTAGAGGAAATTCACTCCCTTTAGCCTTTCTCCTTATACCTAAGCCTGGTCAGTCAAATTGTTGGCCTTGAAATGGTGGAGCTATAAGTGTAGTTAATATCGATTCGTAATGAAATCCCCAGCTATTTAGAATCGATACAATACATATTGATTTTTTCGTTCAGATTGCTACAAATTATTCTTACATAATAGATGGTGACAGATAGTGATTAAATGCAAATCGCACCTCTTGAACTTAACTCGTGAATCTACCTAAACACCCTACTTCTAACCCTAACTTTTTCTTCTTTCACTAATCATTTTGAAACTGCTTGATAACTGTCGTTGACCTTGGAATTCCTAGTTTCTCTAATTAAGATTATTTAAAACGTGTTATTTCTATAATTATCAGCATTATTATGGAAATGAATGTTTGTTTTTTCTCTAGACTTTTTGTCTCATTGCTTTTAATTGATTTTTTTTCTGTCTAGACTTGCAAACTCATTTTGGTCGCTTACCAATATATTTACTCTTCAAATAATTATGATATGAGTTTGATTGCTAATCACAGTGCATTATCCTATATTCACAAAGTCTGATTCCTCATGAGGTACTTTTTGACATTTATTTATATTTGGTTATAAATGCCACTCATACGAAACTTGATGTATTGAGATTGATTAGACAGGACGAGTTACAGACAGTGATGTCTTAAATATAACGCCTAGATGTGAATAAGGAAAGAAATAGGTGTTTTTGAAAAAGATTTTACGTCTCAGAGAAGGATTATGAAATCAATGAACAGCATAATGTTCATTGAATTATACAAAATACTTTAACCAATGGAAGAAGATATGAATTACGTAATACTTTCACTTTGCAAAATCCAAAATAATATTGAGAATTGAAATGTCACAATAGTAGTTGTTGTTGTAACAAGTTTAAACAGATCAAAATACTGATTATGGTAAATCCTAATTACGATACAGTTTGAAAATAATAGAACAATAACGTGAATCTCTACGATAATAAAAGAGTTCTAAGTTTTGATCCACAAAAGATCAAATAACCAATATTTCTACAATATAATGAAAATTTACCAGCTAACGTTTTGAAATTTTTAGTAGTTCTTAAACATATTCATTTGTATAAAAATCATGCCAAATGTATATCACAATTTAAATTGCAAATTCTTTTAATACGACACTGGGAAAAAAAAGACAAATTAGGGTCAAAGTTGTTTTAGTTACAATTTCGATTACGATCTTATTATTTACATTTTATTGATTTAACTTGTAATTGTGTAGTTCAAGTATAAAAAAAGGACTTAATTATATGGAGTCCCACAATAGAACGAAATGACCGTCCAGTGCTTCCAGGTTTTCTATGGTGGTCTAGCTTCAAATGACTCATTATGTCAACCGTTGAAATTATTACAATCTCCACAAAACCCCTTCTGATATTTGATTATAAATGCATATTTTATTTTTCCTTAAACCAATCCATCTATCTAGTACAAATAGTATCCTTTTCATTTCTATTAAAGTACATAAAATCTTGTATACTTAAATCTTGTGAAAAGGAATTCTTAAAAAAGGAATAAGTTTATATATATACACTGAATATAAATTAAACTGATCCTTTCATTATGAATTATTTACACATTCACAAAATAGTGAATTTACAATTAGGTCATCCATTTCAACCAATAAACTAATCGTGTTCAATTATAAGTGAAGAGAAACTTTTTAATAATTTCTTGGAACAAATATAAATTCATGAAAAATTCGATGGTTTCTTTTATTATTATTTTTTATTATTCCAGTATGCTGAAAATGTATCAGAATTTGATATATTACATGATTATCTCATATCTATGTGTTATGATATGTTCAGGTCAGTGGGTTTATCTTTTCTTTTCTTTTTTTTGATTTTATGATTACATTTTCTATTGTCTTGATAGATTACATAATAAACGATCAAGATGGAATAAATAGCTGGTAATATCTTAAAATAGTTACATCCATTCTCTGTATCTGTCTTATGTGTGACTTGGATATAATTATCTATCAAATAGATACACTATATTAGTTTATTTTGTCAGGTTATTGAAATTCAATATCCTATCATTTCTTTCTTTAGATAGGATATCATCATTCTTACAAATAGAATGATATAGGCGTCGAAATATTGCCTTACACACACACATACATACATACAAAAGAGATCATTTTACGGGAATTTATTTTATCAAGTACATATCTATTTAAAATGAAGACAACATTTGGGTGAACACGAAATACCCAGTCATCATCATTTTTATAAATTTCCGTATTAATATAAAAAATTACTATTTAATTATCATTAGTTACTTGAATAGAAATATTTTTTTTCAATTTTAAGGAGTATGCTATCGGTATACTGATATCTAACAATCTTACGGAGTAACTGAGTTTTCGTCACAGAGGTGTTACATGATCGGTTTTCATTACTGATTACGTTTTGTAAATGCATCATTTACTAATAAGAAAAAATACATTAAAAGGACGATATGTATAATACTTAAAAGCTTTTGAAATCTGTTTACATTATGTAAATATTCTTCTATTCTCACTTTTCTGTCCTTTTACAACTACCATCTCTTCACACTTGGCCATGGATAAGTAACATGTGATTACTCAAACGATATATTTCAATGCTCTTAATGAATGTTTTACAGTCAGTAAATTTTAAAGCAGCATGTTAGATTGCAATGACTGAGTTAAGTCTTTCAGCTTTATTATTGCTTTGTTTGTCACAACCTTGAAATAGTTATCTTAATCATTTATCATTATTTTCATGGGTAAAATTGGATTTATCAAATATTTAAATAAATACCCAACATTTGATTGGTATTCATTCCATTACCAATCATATAAACGTATTCACTAGTATGAGGCTCTAGTGCATATAATATGTAAGGAAAAGTGTTATTAGCTCAGTTATTGTCATTATTTATCTTGTAGCAGTTCGAAGAAAAATCTTCGCCTCTGCAGTCAACGAAGTTCGATATGTACTGAAAATTTTTACGCTAATAAAATAAATGAGATTTCAATGATATCTAAATATGTAACGTCATGTTAAACCAATTTCAATAGTCAACAACTTATCACCTATCTTAGTAAATCTCATTTAAGACGCTTTTCGATTCTAAGTAAAAGATTAAGTGTTCCAGATATTTTAGGTTGGTTTTAAATGTTTTATTCTTTTGACATTTTTATCAGAGGGATAACAGATATACAAAACTTTAAAATTGTTGTTTGAAAAGACTGATGATAACAGTTTATCTTGCAAATTCAGCGTGTCATAATTCCAACTTAATCTAATTAATCTGAGTTCACTGCTAATGGTTAAAACGGCGTCTTATTATTTTTTTTATAGTGTCGGTTTTTAATCAGTAGGTAGTAGGTTCAAACACAAATCCATCGAATTTTATTTGAACTTTTAAGTAAACAGCCTAGATCAAACTTGATAACATAAACTTATTAAATAAGTGATTTTATTATTATCATCGTTATTATTATGGTAATTGATTGTCTCTGTCTTAAGAAATATTTCCCTTATTTATAAATCACTTTAGTAAAATGATTATATCAAAGAAAACATGAAACTTGAAAAACTCCAATTTATCTTTATGCTTCAGTTAAAATCATATGAAACATAATTGTATGAACGAAGAATATTCTTTTCAATGAATTTCTCATTAGGTTCTACAATTATAAATCTAAATTAATGATCGATAAAATTGGCCAATTTGAAGGCAGAGTACATCATTTGGAAATTGTAATATATGAATTGAGAATTGTTGTTTGTTATATAAAATCAATTCAGATTGTTAATGTTAGGGCTGTTTAATATAAAGTGTTAACTTGAATCAGTTTATAAGCGAAATGAAATTGTGAGATACATGATCAGAATAAATATGATCAACATCATTCATCGCACAATTTCATTTCGCTTATAAACTGATTCAAGTTAACACTTTATATTAAAAAACCCTAACATTAACAATCTGAATTGATTTTATATAACAACCATAATCCTCAATTCACATATTACAATTTCCAAATGATATACTATGCCTTAAATTCGGCCGACTTTGTGGATTATTAATTTAGATATGAGATAATTGTAGAGTATCTGATGAGAAATTCATTGAAGAGATTATTCTTCACTCATACAATTGTGTTTTAATATAATGCAAATTTTCCAGTGATTAAAATCATATGAATTTGAATTTTGGTTAATAAGTAAATGACTTAATTAGGGTGAATTTCTGTTAGAAATTTTTTAAAAAAAAAGAAGTAAACTAATTCTATACTTAATTACATTTTCATTTAATTATTGACTTAAATTTATTTTATGTTGAATTTTATAGAAAATCTAATAGTTACTTTTGTTGGACACATAAAAAATGGGGAGTGCTATGAAAAATTTTTTCAAGATGATATTTTTATTAAAATAAATGAATGGAAACCATTTCTTTGTAAAAATGTAAGTTATATTTTAGATGGAAGAAAACAAGTTTCATTATGATTGTTTTTAGGTAATATAGGGTATCAGGTAAATAAATTAGTGAATGCTAACTCAGTTCTCTAAATGTATTATGATTACCAAGAGATCTGAAAATCTTGGATTGATTTCTTGATGAGGTCACTGTTACGTATATTTGAGAGTTTTAAACTAAGTTAAAAAATAAAATTCTATTGGGTTCTTGTATTTCAATTGCCATTCAGATGATTTTATTTCTAAGTCGGGTAAAAATCTTTCACTCTATCTCTTTATGATAAGACAGAGCATAATTATTGTACAACGATACGTTTCTGTAAATTGCGAAATAAATGTTGATTTCTGGTATATTCAAGCGTCAACATCAGAATGATAGTCTGAAAAGTTTAAAGGTTGTTATATTTGTTTAAGATCCTACAAAGATTACATAAAATTAAACAGATAGTTGATCATCTATATGTGTTGTCATTTCATCTTCTGTCAGTTGTGTTGACTTTAATTACTCTTATGGCATACTCTAGTTAATGACAAAAAGAATCTTTTCATGCACATGACTATTAGTCACATGAGATGCATGATTATGCAGTTGGTTCCTCTTATGAATTTGAATCAAGACAGAACAACAACTGGTGTAGAATAATTTGAATTAATTATATGTTTTGGTTCCTCATTAGATGCCTAAAACCATTAGGATAACAAAGGTTACCGATAATAATTATATATATGTATATATTTGCGAGAACAGGTTGGAAGTCATTTGAAGATGGATTTCAAAAACTTGGTGGGGGGAATATAAGAACTCCTATCTAAATTTGGTCTAATTGTTTCACAGTATTTGAGCGCCGAGTTGATGTGAGAATCTAAGGAAGAAGAATGCCTTTATCAAATTTCAGCAAACGAATATGACGTAAATCCAACATTTCACTTGGCATTCTGGTCCAAGCTTTTACAAGGAAATATGATCAAACATCAAGATTATCGAATATAAACAAGTGCATGGTTCTTCAGTTAACTGTATACTAAATAGATCATCCAACCACGTTGACTATGTTTAAAGTAGGCATTTGCTTTAATGTGTAAGAAACATATGGTGCGGAACGATGGATAATGCATTAACTAAACGAGGCCCGGAGACGGATAAGATAGATTGTGTGATAATTTAGAGGTTGTGAATGGTTTACATATGATTACTGGAATTATAAATTGATAAGAAGGGTTGCGTAATTTATGAATAAGCTTTGCAGAATTCACATAAGTTAAAAAAACTAAGTGAATGAATAGTTTTGATGGACATAAGGTAAAAAGTACTTAAGGGAAGACCGCATTACAAAATAAACACTAACAATTAATCATAGCGACAAAAATATTTATTACTTTCTCTTTCTGGATACATAAATCAGGTTTGAGGTTGTTTATTGATATTGCTTCGGCAAACCGGAGAGACGCTACATTTTTCTGTCTGCTAATAATTTTGCAGGCTTGTTAAATGTCAATAGTATGTCGTGCTATTGCACTGTTTACAGGCATTGCGTTTCTTGATCTCAGGTTCTTCGGAACGTGCTCTGAAATGTGAACACGCACTCTTCTCTTTGTTCTTCCAATGTATGTGCTTTGACATGTACACGTAAATTGGCAAATGCGGTTGGAGGTACTGAAAAAAAACACCTGCTAATTTTTGTTTGTTTGAGTGAACAGTTCGTTTCGCTTAATTTTGTCAACTTTGCTAACGGATAAGCAACTTTCAACGCGATATTTATACTCTGGTTAATTATTTCAGTGATTTAGATTAGTCAGAATAAATGGATTCAGAATAAACCGTTGTAAGAGAAGCTTTACTGAAACATATTAAGAGGATTATTAAGATATTCCTCACAGAAGTACATATAATTTTTCATCCACGTTTTTGGCCCACGCTTCAGAAATTTTTCAAAATATGTTCTTCATTATTGATATTTACTAACCATGCTTTCGTAGTGAGCATGAGTTACTCATTTTTATGTTCTTAATTTCAGGTGACACAATTGACATATAAATCTCTGAGGTTACGTCTTCCAAAAGCAAATGTCTGTGACGCAGCATTTCATCCAGGTGTTTTCTACAGCAGTATTGTATCGTTTTCTGCTAAAGTCAAAGTGAAACTTCATAGAAATCTTCAAGTAAATATTCCATCCATGAAAAAACAGTTGAATATAAACCTGAAAGACAAAAATGTAAAATCGTCAAATAATAGAACACTAAGTAAACATTATGAAAGTAAGCATAATTAATTGACCTGAGAATAAACATAATCCACATTAATCTTATCGTTATATTTTTAGATGTGTAGTTATTTGTAAGAGAGTATAATTTCAATAGTTGAGATCATGAGTCAATTGAAGCTAGACCATCACTGAAAACCTAGAAACACTGGAAAGCCGTTTAGTCCCATTGTGGGACTACTCAGCATTGTGCATCCATAACCATTACTCATCGAATTCGAATACAGGACATACCAGTATCGTGCGAGAGCGCTTAACCACTAGACCACTGAGCCGGCATCCAGAGGTGTTAATGCCTAACTTCAACTAATCCACAAAATTCACCCACACATCCACCATTATCACTAGTGAGTTTCTATCTCACAACTGATCCGATTCAACTCTACTGGTCACTGTTTCTCAATAGAACTCCATGATATACACCTTGAAGCCGTTCACTAATGAACATATGTTGATTAGTATCAGAAGAGTTTTTGTAGATATTGTAGTAATTTCACTAGTTGAGATCATGAGTCAATTGAAGGTAGACCAACATAGAAAACCTGGAAGCACTGGACGGACGCTTCATCCCATTATGGGACTCCTCAGCAATGAGTATTTCAATTTAGAAATTTCTGATGATATTTTGAAGATATTATTTCAATATTTTTTAGTTGATGGAATATATTTTGGTAAGTTTCATATTATTCACTTTTTACAACAATAATGAACAAAACTATTAAATGTAATATAAAGTATAAAACTTTTGTAGCATTCAAATGATTAAAGGTTCAAATAATTTTAAGAGGGCTACCTTTTTATTTTTTATTTAGAATGTGAAAGTGGTGAGTTCGTATAATACATTGAAACTTTCAAGATATATCAAGATTTTAAATCGATAACACTGATTTCAGTTACTGAGTTAGAAATAAAACTGACATATTTGAAAAACTAAGAATATATTATCTGCATAATTAGAAAATACGCAGGATATAAACTATTTCTTTAGGATTCTAGCCATGATATATGCTTTACAAAAAACCAAAACTATGAAAAACTTCGATATAAATTAACTACAGCATTTCTTGCTAGGATTTTGTATTTAACATAACACCCATTAAATTCGATCAGTTTATTGACTAATTAATATTGAAAGTTCCGAATGCCACCATCGGTTATCAGCCATGACAAATAAAGAAATTGCTTGTAGTTTGTTTGGAGTCGATATATGTATTAGTTGTCCTGTCTAAATTATGAAATCAAATGCTGTGTAAAGTATTTCCTCATTAACTGGCTGTTTCTATCTAAAGGGAAATAAACATGTGTAAGTTAAAAACGAAACGAAATATGCTTTCAGAACATCTCAAACTAACTGTAGTTGAGAATTCAAGCCACTTTATATCTTAGCTCAGGAGTTTAAAAGTCAAGCGCTCACAATGATCCCTGTAGGTCATGAGTTCGATCTCCGCCAGTGTGATCATAGAAAATACCATGAAGTCGTATACTAGGATTAAATAGTTATTGAATGTTTCTTAGATTCTTGTAGTTGTCTAAGATCCGAATGTAATGTGAACTATGGAAATTCAACGGTCTCCATAGACCCCCATAGAACTAAAAATAAAAACTTCATAGCAAATTTCTGTACGGTTTCCTATAATAAAAACTCAATGTTATTAACAATTCTTAACTTACCTCTTTAAGATGAAACAACTACTTGTAAGTTCATTTTGATTAGTGACACTATCTGTATGATTTACACAATAACATAAGGTAAATCTATATATAGTTGTTTCAGTGATTATAAAATATCATCGGCAGAGTAAGGATCGCATACACAATTCAGTTATTCAAGTTGTTTTATCAAACATCAGAAAAATGACTCATAATAGTACAAACTAAGCACTTTCAAGACAACTCTAACTTAGAATGTGTTCTCCATTGTATTTATATTATTATCATATTTATTATTATAAAATGCAGTTTATCATTTATGCTGCATGGTATCTGTTAGCTTATAATAAAATAGTTTTCCATATCACCATTAAGAGAGTGAGCTGTTTATTCTGAAAAACGTTGTGATTTATATTTCGTCAGTTCATTCCAATCTATATGGTGAACTTAATCATAAAAAATCCCATCGATAATTAGCATTGTACTTTTATCAAACCAGTACAAAACATGTACACATTTTATGATATATTGATTTAACGGTGGTAGGAATGTTTAATGCATAGTAGTAATTTTTAATGTGGTTATTTGTTCAGCATGTTTTCCCATGATTTACGTTGGTTAACTCAACATATAAATTAAAATATTCATTTAATTGTGATTTGCATTACAGTGAAAATCACTCTTTGTTTGTCTAATTAAAAATGAAATATTATTATTGTTAGTACTTAAGATGTAACATGAATGATTGTCTTTATGTATTAACGTAAACGAACATTTTCAGTTGAATACTTTACCTCTCAGTAGTTTGCTTCCATTCAAACCTTTAATAATTATGTACTTTCGACATTAATTTCCATATATTTATGTTAAAGATTATTTGACTTGGATTTTTATTTTGCACAATGTTTTACAGCATGTGGGGATATTGAACGTAAGTTAAGAGGCTGTTCAGTAAAGCTTCGTAAATATTTTTAGACAAACATATGTGCTAAAATATCCAGAAATATCAGAATAGCATGATATATAACGGAATCTATTCATTTCATGTGTGTATGGTTATCACGGATTGACGCCTGCTGGATTATTAAAAAGAGCAAGGTGTGTTGAAAATGTGTGACTCCTAAGCAGTGCATATTCACCACATATTTAGCAATGGAATTAATGTCTCTCAGGTCTGGTGGCACGCGTAGGACCTGTACATAAAAGAGTTAGAATATGATAGTCAATATAGTCGAATTTAGTCATTTTTATTGCCTTACAGGCAATTATCAGATGATTTACCGATATCACTTGAGAATTACTTATTGATCTATTTCCTGTTTTTTACTGTCTCTTGTTAAAGCTATTCAAAACTTACACTTTTCTACAGCTATCTCATTATTGTTTTCAAGTGTTATACCTTTTTCCTCACCTAAAATTCACCTTTCTTCTATATTTATTTCATGTGTTTTAAAACAAAATTTACTTACATACAAATGTTGACTTTGAAAATAATAAACAATTATAGTTTAGAAAGAGGTTTTTGTAGATATTATAGTAATTTAATAGTTGAAATCATGATTCAATTACAGCTATACCACCATGAAAAACCTGGAAGTACTGAATGGCCATTTCATCGTATTGTGGGATTCATCAGCAGTGAGCATATATGATCACGCCCCGTGGGATTCGAACCCAACGCCTATCGGACCCGCTCGTGAACACCTAACCACTAGACCACTGGGCCAGCATCCTGCGGTGTTAATGTCTAACTCCAACCAATTCATGAGATTGAGCCACACGTTGACCATTGTCTTCAGTGAGTTACTATCTCACAACAGACCTTGTTGAACTCTAGTGCTTCCGGGTTTTCTATGGTGGTCTAGCTTCAATCGACTCATGATCTCAACTACTAAATCATAGTTTATTTTGACATCTTGGTTTTTTTACGTCTTTCTTTTTGTACTGGTGGAATATTTCGAAACTCATAGTCATTTTAAATTATTAACTCACATGAAGATATTGTTAATTGTCGTATTTACTATGAGAATAAAGTTGTATAAAAACATTGTTTTAAGACGTGGTCAAACACTTCTGACTAGCTTTTTAAAAATCAAAACTTATAATGGAACTTTGTAATGAATTAACACCTTTGATAAAGTTTAGAAAGTTTTCTTTTTAAATGAAGTATCTATACATTAACCTTAAAGCAACATTTCACTTGTATTATTGTTTTCTTGACCAAATCAAAGTTCTAATGGATAGGGTTATCGAAACTCTTGAATTGAATCAACGAATCCGTATTACTAAAATTCTCTTCAGTGACATAATAATTATGTCATTATTTATACTTTACTTAACTCTTAGTTATAATGCTTTGGTATTAGGATGTGTTCATCAATACTAAACATAAAATAAACTTGCATACAAATAATAGATCATCGATAATTATCAAAAGTATGAAGATATTGTTATTAGAAAATGAAATTCATTTTCACATATTTATTATATAAATCAATAAATAGTCTTATAAAACCATCTAACTAATTGTAAACTCAAAATTTTATCATTTGGATAGTATTATCTATGTGAAAGTACAAGTTACTTCCTGTCAATGTTGGATCAGTCTCTTGACTTCTTTGGCTTCTATCTATTTAATAAGTAATATAATGTAATTTACTTCTTGACAGATTTTTAAAATAGTCATTCTAATTATCAGCTTATTTTAAAAGAATTTTATTGTCAAAATATGTTAGTTCAGTATAAGACAATGAAACTTTTAACATAACCCTAAATCCCTAAATAAATATTTTTAAAAAAAGACATTTCACCCTGACAACAAACTTGAAAATATCCAAAATGTAATTCTTGAACATTAATATTGTCTCATATATGTCATATTTACATGGATTTGGTGATTACCTATATATGTGATATGATAGAATATATTTATGTTATTTACTAACAATTACGTGAAAGGTAGAACTCGGTTTCAACGTTTCAGCAGACGAATTTTAGGCTTTTTTCTTAAAGTAACTACTCAGTTGTCAGACCATAATTTTGTGTTACTGATAAACGGTATTATAGGTAATGTGGTTTATCCTTTTTGTAAATTTAATATACGGCAATGAATTTCCAAACTTTTCGAAGCTAGATTAGTAATATATCAGTCTATTGGTAATTGATAAGTGGTGAAAATCAAGTTTGAAATGAACTGATCGATTCAGTTCCAACTTCAAATCCATATTAAATAAAATGAAATTACCTCTGAGTAGTTTGGATAGATTTATATCTATCTAATATATTTTTAGTTTTTATGGTTAGACAAATAGTATTTATGACTTCGTCGAAACCTTTCTTCCTTTTTACACCATTCAGTG